GGACGGGGGGGGATGTGGTACAATTTGGTAATGCCTTGAGTGTCCTAGGATGGCTTTAGCCTCTCCCAGATATTGTTCTGTGAGAAGAGGAACCACTTCAAAGAGGAAGCACCCTCAAAGCTGTTGCAACATCGAACAGGACAGAGAAAAGGACTCACAGGTGGGGACCCTGGGTACATCCCAGGGATGACCTGGGACAGCAGTGGAAAGTGGGGAGGGGTCAGAGTGCTGCAGGGACAAGCCTGAGAACCTCAGCACTCTAGGTTCCCAGGCTGTCCTTCATCCCCAGTGTTGCTGTTCTGTTTCTCATTTTGCTTTTTATCTCTTCATTTGCATATAGTAAGAGTTCAATATTTTTAGATAAATTATTATTTTACTTAACAAGCATTCCTAATAGATTTGGAAGCAATTAGATAAAAGTTGGGTACAGTTGACTTCTAAAGGATAGTAACTATTGGTTAAGCATAGCATTAAATTCTGTTGATAGACAAATTCAGGATTATCCTGACCTTGTGCCAAGCTGCATGGGAAAAGTTTCTGAGGAAGCCAGAAAAAGTAGAGTACACACACAATAGTCAAAATTTATTTACTGAACTCCTACCATGTGCTAGACACTGGAAATGCAATGATGAAGAACATAAATGACATCTTGTTCATGTTGCTTATAAAAAAATAGGAAAGACTACAGGAAAGAAAATCAAAGAACTGCTCTCTGAAATAATTCTTGAGTATGGTTTGTGCTAAACATAACAAAATGTCTACTGCCTACTTGCCTATTTGAGTATCATTGTGTATCTCGAAAGATCACTTGTTCCCAGGAATAAGATTCAGTTTTTCTTAAACAGACCCAATTTCCCTTGGGCTTAGACACAGGCCACTTTAATCAAAAGCAAGGAGATTTCTTTGAGTCTCAGTTTCTTATTCCTAAAATGGGAGATGTAATAATTCCAATCTCAGAGGATGACTGGCAGGTTCATTAAATGAGAGCCTAATAGCTGCCTCGCAGTGGGTCCCAGTAAATGTTAAGCTTCTTCTTCCATGTAAAGCACACATTAAATTTTCATGTGGGCAGATTTTAATGTGGAACTTGAAGACAAAGAAAGGAAGATGAACCAAGCATGCACCTCACATGTGAGGTCTGTGCTCTTAATTCAGAGAATAGGGTGCATCAGCAACTGGGGGGGATGTTAATGCAAATTCCCTCTCAAAATTGTTCTCATTAATTGTATTTTAAACAAACCATATTAATATTGGTATTCATCACTTTGTAAATAAACAGACTCTCACACAACATTCTACTGTACTTTATTTTACTTTAAAGAAAGGTCACTTGAATAAGTTCAGTAATTTTAAGAATACAACTTTTAATATCTTAATACGTCCCCTTGTTTCTATAGGTAAGAACAAAAGTGAAACAATTTTTATTTGCCTACAGCCATTTAATGGTTTTCTTAATTGATTAAAACTGGCAAATAATTCTTTCAAAGCACAATTTTTTAAATCAATGAGCATACTTGATAGTTACTATAAAGTAATTAATTTAGGGAAGTTTGCAGATAATTCTGTGTAGCCATCCGAAAGGCCTATACTAATTTATAGCAGGCTAGTGTTTATGATGGTTGGCAGAAAAAGGAAGGGCTGGCTGACACAGTGCATTTTTCTTTTGGGGGAAAACTGTTTAAGTTGATTTTAATAATTGGGCTCATTATTTTAATAAAGTTAAATATCAAAATATTCAGTTGTAAAAACCAAGCAAAATGTGGATTTTACATTTCTGTGCACTTTAGGGATGTGGCACACAGATGTTGTTTGAAGCATCTAGAAAAGGAGAGCTTTAATAGCTCATAAGCTCTAAATATTAGCTAAAGTACTTGGGATTTTTCTATCATAACATTTAACCAAATTCTCATTTCTTTTTTATTAGTTAAAAAATGTACTGTGTAGGATAAAGTCAATTTTGCCAGCTGGGTGGATCTCAGATGTTTATAAATTCCTGTAGTCAGATTATCAATCTTTGGTTTGGTGAGACAACCATCAAAATTAAAATTTGTTTCATTATTTCATGTTTCCTGTTCCATGTCCATGGGGAAACTGAAGCCTAGATAATTGAGAAAAATTGGTTAGGATTTTTAGTTTGTTTGAATTTGAACAAATTTTGAATATTTTACTTCACCCTAAATTTTTCGAAGTTTATTTCCTAGGGGAAATTTTTCATTGTGATGAAATGGAAGAATTAATACTTTTAAGGCCTTGCAAGTCTTGGAGGTTCATAGCTTAATGGACAATAAAGCATGGTCTAATAGTGGTGCAAAATAAATAAAAAAGTGGATTTTTTGATTGAAATCTCACCAGAAACATATGAAAAGACTCTGGCCCTTTATGCCTAGAAGTTGAATTTGGCTTGCTAACAATTTGAACTTTGAAATATCTCAGGGCCTCTTAGGGAACAGCTGCAAAAAGTATGTGAGCAGCTGAAAGCCTGAGCATTTAATAATACTAGACTAATGGGTACATTAGGAAAGAAAACAAAATAATTTCCCAAGTGTTTCAATATAAAAGGTTCTAAAGTTTTTACATGGATTCTTTCTTTCTGATTGTCAATAAATATTTTGGTGTATCTGAAATCATAGAAAATTTTCACTTAAAAGCAGGACCAATTAATTGATTCTTTATAAGTTACATTGGTGTTTCAAATTTGATGTTTAAACTTCCAAGTATATAGCATGTTGTAATAGTAAAGTGTTATAATGGTAAAGTCATCAAATATATAGGAAGATTATTATTTCACTCTCAAGAGGAAATATTATGCCATAAGCGGGTAAAGCCTCTGTAATCCCTCATTGGAAGCGTTCCTGTCAATGTCACTGTAGTTTCAACAACTATGTGCTATTACTTTTCAGGAACTAGGGTTTATTTCCCTAAAGGGCAATGCAAGGAATGTCATGTGAGGCCATAGAAAAGTAGACTTTTAAAATATGAAAACATTTTAGGATAAAAATTATATTTGGATTAGGCAAGTTATGTGTCCTCAGTTTAATATGAGTTCCAATTTATAGTTCAAACAAGAAATCTCTTGTACCTTTGTGGTCACAAAAGAGTGATTTTTCTTTTTGGATTTAGGTCCATCCTTCCCGAGTTGACACCAGTTTCTGAGAACTCACTGGGGTTCTGCATACAGAATATCTTGCACTGAATTCTCCCTCTCTGGGCACACAGTCATACTGTTCAGGTGCCAAGTCCTGCATTTGCTTTGAAAGCTACTTCAATTGGCTGCCCCAAATAGCTTGAGGATTTAACTTCTCTTCATGAGTCATTCAATCTCTTCAAATCCTCTGAAACATTTTCTTCAAGATTCAACTCAAGAAACACTTACTGTAGATCTCTTATAATAGTGACTATATTAGATATACAAAGCTAGATAAAATTCAGGTTCCCATTCTTACAGTATGAGATAAACTGCTGTGAAATTGAATGACTGCTACACTGTGGCCAAGTGCTAGAATAGCAGATGGAAAGGAACAAAGAGAAGAATCAGGAGTCAGACTTGAATTTTGGGCTCCATTACTTACTAGCTTTCTGTGTTGCTTAGGCTAGGCCACTTCCCTAACTGAACCTCAGTTACCTGCCCTATTAATCTAGGATAACCATACTACATGCCTCAGAGGACTACTGGGAGGACCAAATGAAATAATCAAAATAAACCTTGTGTCATAGTGCTGAGTGTACGGGCATTTTTTATTAATACTCATATACTCTTTTTACATGCCTACAATACTTGCAATTTACCAAAGTACATTTATTTAAGTGTTAGAAAATTTTCAAAGTGGACAGGACTACAGAAATCATGTAGCTTAGTAATAACAGACACCTATAACACTTAGAGTCCCAGTGAGACAAAAAAAATCCGCCAGTTATTTAAACAAAAATAATTTAACATAAAGAATTGTTAGCTAGGCATAATGTTGTCAGATATATGACCAAAAACAGAAAGCCTAAAAACAGTAACTGTAGGAAGCAGCTATTACTCTTAGGGCTAGAGGAAGAAAAAGAAGAGCCTACTAAACCTTGGAAGCTTGGAAGAGGAGCCCTGGAGCTGAAAAAGGGACCTGCTCAGTTCTGCCTGTGCTCAGAGGGGAGACACTTTGGAGCTGGTTTTAGACTTCAGAGAAGGAGGCATTGATTGGCCGGTGTTTGGGCTGGTGTACTGAGAAGAGTGCAGTGAAGCTGGTTCTACATACATTGGGAGAACTGTGTATTGGATTCAGCTGCCGAAGAGACCAGCCCCTTCTGAGGTGAAGAAACTAGGGGGCAACACTCACAGGAATAGGAGGGGAGGAGAGGGCTCCCTAGCTTCCTGGGTCTAGTTCTTTCAACAACTGACTGCATCTTGATCTGAGATTCAAGCCAACCCTATGTTTTTCAAATACATCCACTGTTATTTTTTAAGTTATCTAGAATCTCTAGTTCTAGAGGAAGAAAAGTCTTAACTAATACAAATTTTGTGAGTCAGAGACTGAAATGAATATCTTGCCAGAGTAATGAGTTTTATACCAGGCATTGAATGCAGGGCCTTTGCACTGAGCTACATCCTGAACAATCTCTCTCTCTCTCTCTAAATTTTGAGACAGGATCTCACTAAGTCACTAAGTTGACTGGGTTTAAATTTAGGATCCTCAACCTCCTAGAGTACTAGAATTACAAGTGTGTGCTGAGGGCAGGGGTTTTAGCTCAGTGGTACCACTCCTGCCTCACAAGCACAAGGTCCTGAGTTTGATCCCCAGTACCAAAAAAAGAAAACAAAAAAAAAAAAGAAAAGAAAAAAGAAGTGTGTGTCATCACACCTGGTTAATGCATAACCAATCTCCACAAGAGCATATACGGTATTTGTAAAATCCACACTAAATGTTGCAATTAATTCAAAGAAATGGATTAAAGTTTTGCCCTCATGAATTTGGACATGACCCCAGATACTGTTTGTGTACTTTACTGGGATTCCTTGGTACAGCTTTATAATTCTGGAATGACTCTTACTGCTTCTGTCTTTGGAGCATGGCTGTGCATATGAAGCTACTGAGAAGAGTGGCCAAAGCAATTTGGAAGGAATGACTCTTCACAAGATTTAGTTCCGTCTCATACTTCCAGGGCTGGTAAAAGGAAATCTCTCATTTCTAAAAGAGAATTTCAGCTGTTCTGAAGTAAGTGAGCTAACTGGTAGCTCAGAAAATATGTTCATTTTTCATGTCAAATTTGGTGGTGTGGTTAATTTCAGCTAACACTTTCGTGCATCTAGCATTCTCAGCATCATTATTGTCAACTCTCTGGTGCCAAAAAATGCCTGGAATAGCCTGTGGTATATGTTGCAGTAGTGCAAGGCATGAATGTTCATCTGGAAATTATTTTGAGTAGAAAGTGATGTTTCCTTATTCCATCAAGAACAATCATTTTGGATCACATATAAGGCCAGATTTGGTGTTCAAAACAAAAACTATTTGGCACTAAAGGGGGTAACGGAAAGAAAAACTAGCAACAAGTATGAGTGAAAAAAAATCAGTAAATCGGCAGCACAAAATACTAGCTGAGCTTTTTTTTTTCATGGATGTCTTAATGCCTTCTGATAAAGACTTGTCCAAATTGTAGAGTAGGGTGGTTGAAAGATGGGGAGGGACTTAAAAAAGAAGAATTAAGTTAACTAAAACTGTACACTTGGTCTGTACAACACCAAGACGTACTAGAATAAAATTTTCACCTACATCTATTGTTTTTATGTGTTTTAATGTTGTAGCTACAGCCATACATACCAACTATCAGTTTAGAATATTTGACAGGCAATTTCATTGTGCGTATTAGGAAACACCTGGTCTACCATCACATTATTTATGTAGTGCTGGCTCATTCTACACATCTAGGCTATTCTGAAGTTTAATCTTGCTTGGATAAATCCTTCTAAAATACATCTTAATTAATGTGTATAGGCCAAAGTGATATGGTCAGAGACTACCATGGGGACAAAGGACAAACAAATTCCTGGGCCCTTAAATTGTTATTTATTGAAAGCATAATTTGTGTTTTCTTCTAAGACAATCAGGGACTTAAAAATAGCTTTTGCTGAAACCTATGACTCTTTGTTTAGGCCTGCAGATGCTGAATAAGTACCTACAAGCAAAAAAAAAAAAATCTTGACCTCTATCTTGTATCCTTTATTACCTCAAAAATTTGGATATAATCATTTAGGGAAGGTTGGCAAAACAAGGTTTATTGGCCCTAAATTTACCTAGCCTATCTCATTCTTCTTCAAGATTGAGGACACCAAGATAAGAGTAACTAAAATAATTCTCAGGGGCATCAGCTTGAACAACATCCAGTTTCAGATCCTCTCCCTGCAGCAACACCCAGAGGTTTCCAGCATTGTCCTAAACCTCGCAGACCACTCCGTGATGAGATCAACTTCTGAAGCAAGAACAGTCATCTTATGGGAACCAAATTGCCCCTCAAACCATGATGATTCCTCTTGAACTAGAAAGCAGGACCTCAGCCCACCACATCACCCTGTAAAATTGGTCTCCATTCTTTTATGAAGGGGCCAGTCTGATTCACCTCTTTAGATCTCTTCCATCTGCTCTTATTTTCCTTTGTTAGGGGACTGGCTTAAGCTGTGTCAGAGCTGTGTTCCCCTTTATTTTCTCTTACTTTCCAAGTAACGCTTTTGCTGTACATTAATACTGTTGCTTTAGTTCCAATTTCTGTAATCATGAAAGCAAGGACCCATACTAGCTGGTGACAAAGTGTTTGCAACTAAATCCTTTCTCTTTTGTGCTCCATTTCATTGTACTGCATGACAACCATTAAGTATTTAGAGAAAAACTGATGGCGGAAAAAAGCCTTTAATTGGATTTGGATGGAAATGCCCTGATTAGAAGCCTAAATTGTGTAAGACTAAACACTGTACAATTCATATAAATCTGGAAATAAAGAATTTCTGGTATTTGTGTAGGTTAGTTCCTGAGCCCATGTGATATGAAAGCTCCCCTGAGGAGCTTCTACCTGCTCTTCTGTTTCTGCCACTCTTAAACCCTCACTTCCAGGTGTCAACTTGTTATGTCACCTTGAAGTTTCTGTGATCATATTATAAGGACTATTGTATTAACATTGGACCCAGCTGGATAATCTAGGCTACTCTCTCACATTTGAAGATCCTTAACTCAATCATACATGCGAAGTTTTTGCCGCTCACAGGTTATGGGGATCAGGGCATAGACCCTCCCCCACAACTTAATTGGATTGAAATTATTCTCTATGTGATTCCAAATAACTGACCTCCAACCTGAATGTGTATAATTCATGTGAACTTCTAAACATTCCTTTCCCACCCTTTCAGCTTCAAAAGGTGATATATTGTGCTTTCATCATCAATCATCATCATCATCATCATCATCCTGAGAAAGTCTAAAACATAATTACAGAACTTTAAGGTAAAGTAACATCAAATTTCTACTAGTCTAGGATCAGTTGAGTATTTATTTCTATGTTCTTGAGGCCTGGAGATGGAAAATAAAACACTTGAATTTATTTATAAAATTCTCACTTAAATAGTCTTCCACAATCCCCATTGAATCCCTGGCAACTTACTCTTCCAATGGTTTCCTTCTTTAGCAAAGAGCATCGAGAGAGTATTAAACTTGATGTAATAAAAATGTTCAGCATCTTGATCAAGGAAACAGATATACATTTTCTAGTATGATTAGACAGAATTTGAAGTCTCTTCAGATCTTCAATTTCTATGATTCTGTTGAAGGGTTTCTTAAAATGATATTGATGCTAATATCAATGCAATACAGTACTTTAAAGAAACTGCCAATCTGTAACTCACTCTAGTATTGCTCACTAGTGAACTTCTGTTGCTAAAGTTTTTCAAAGGCCTATCACATAGTTTGTCAATAATTTTCAGTGATCCTTGTACTTGGTACCAGTGTAGTAAAAAAAGAGCTGAGATTTATAGTTGAATGAATCTGGACTCAGATTTTAGCAATGCTATAGGCATGTATGCCAATTTCTCTAAACTATTGCTTCCTTAGTGGAAAAAAGGGAATAGCAAGACCCATATTGCAGGGACTGGGGAATTAGATGTGATAATGATGGAAAGTACTAGGTGCTGCCTACTGCATAGTAGACACTCAATAAATGCTAACCCCAGACATTCTGCCAATGTTTATCTTCTCCAGTGTGTGGCAGGAACTGAGCTTGGCTCTAATTGCTTCCTTTTCCTCATCAAATTCATCATCTTTCACAGAAAAGAAGCAAACTGCCTCTAATTTGACCCCTAACGACCTTGTCAAACTGTATTAATGTCCATAATAAAAAACAAGAGCAAATATGTTAATGAATAGTAAGATTATAGTTCTAGTGTAAAGAATAATTAATTGTTAGCTTGAGTGAAGCTCCATGTCTTCTGATGGCTGCTGTTATATAAAATTATGAACTGTAAGAAACAAAAGGCCAGTAATGGTCACATGTGGCTGGCACGAGGGACTGTTATAGTCCAGGAATTCTCAGGTCAAAGATATGTTAATTATTGAAACAAAACATGACTATAATCTATTCTTTATTGTGCTGTTTTTATAAACAAATTTGTTACAACTTTTAGCTACACTGTTTGTTTTCTTTCCTTATTTATGATAGGAACAAACTGATCAAAATTAGATGTAAAAACGTGTTAGTCTTTTCAGTTTCTTATTTCTTTCAAACTTTTCTGACATATTTTGTGCTCCTTAAATACAGAGAAAGATTATGTTGTTAAATGTCAAAGGTAGATGTCTCAACATTATGTTCCTCTACCTTGGGTCTGAACAGCAAATGCATTTGAGGTCATTATACTCCCAAAATAAGAAATGTATATTGTTCTGAAATTTCTCAAGTTTAGCTCTCTTTCCTTAGACCAGCATTGTTGTATCTTATTTGGGACTGCCAATGCAGGTTATAGATTCAGCAGTGGTATAATAGTTACATTCCCATCTACCCATTCCTTGTGATTAAAAAAAATTTTTTCTTAATGAAATTATTTTTTCTTTATACCTCACATACATGTATTTTAGAAAACACACTTATGCCTCTAATATCTGTAAACTATTTTGGACTCTGAATGATTAACTTCCGTCTTACGTTGCTTAGTAAGAAGTAGTCTGAAGTTCACTCATTGAAACACACACATGCACATGCACACACACCTGGCACAGAGCCTCTTTATGTAGTAAAAAAAGGAGTAGAGTATTCTGTGGTACAGAATCAAGGGTGTAGAGGTTGGGCCTGTTAGTTAAAATTAATTTAACTTGAATGTTCATTTACTACCCCTTTTATAATTATTATGCCTCTCAAGACTTAATGAAATTTCAGAACATGACACTGATGGGGTAGTTTTGTTACTAAATAAATTCTGGATAAATAAAATTCAAAGCCAAGAATCTGAAAGCTTCATTGCTGCAGGAATATAAATTCACTGAATTATTAGTGGGACCGAGGAAATTTGTAAGCTTTAAATTTATCTCAATTCAGAAAAGAGCACTAGAGATATTTTGCTACTTAAATTGTGTGTACTTATCAAGATTAAAGGATTTTTCTTAAGCCAAATTATAGCTCTCTAGTACTTCCTGTGGAAACTATCTAGCATGACTATTAATGTGTAGCTCATCTTCTCAGAGAGTCATTACTAATTGTAAATTACTATTAAGTATGACTATGCTCTTAATTACAGTAGGTTTTGGACTGGTCAGTAGAAGGTCAGTGGAGAGGAATCATTTTCCCTTCCAATAATGTGAATGGCATATATCATGATTTAAAATTTTCTAGCGTCCTTAAAATTTAAAAAGTATGATTATCAACATTATAAATTAAACCTTATGCATTATGTTCTCTCATACAAAATCAGAAGTCCACTGATTTCACTTATCTCTAATGTGCTTCTATTTCCTATATAAGAAGACCTTAGACTCAGTTTACTAGTGTAAATTATTACTTTTTAGTATTACACATGTTCTTTTTCAAGAATTATTGTTTTCACCCTGTTTTATATTGCTGTAAAATAATTATACAAAAGATTCTATATTAAAAAAGCATTAATCTTCTTTATTATTCTTTGTTAAATAATTTACTCATCCTTGGACTCTATTTTGATTTTTCTTTTTCGGCCTTTAGGATTTTTTAGTCTTTAGAAATCTGTGGGGCTTGTTTTATTACTACTTATCATTTTATCCAAAATGTGGTATTTTGATAATTTTGTTTTATTTTTTCTTATTATTTTATTTAATTGCTGTGGAGAAGAGCTCTGAGGACAAGCTGAGTTTTTTTTCCTTTACAAGTAATATTTTCCCCCTGCAAAACCCAACCTCCTCTGCCTGACTCCTTATAAGAAATTAACTTTCCTTTCGACATTCAAATATTTAACCAGGATATGACCAAGTGCTGATCTCATCTTAATATTGTTGCTGGCTATATGATGAACACCTTTGATCTGCAAAATCAGATCGTCAGCTCAGGGAAGTATTTTTCTATGTGCATAACTTTTATTTTGATTTCAGTACTTCTTTCTCATTTTCATTTGTCTGTGATCTAAGAGAGGGATTCTGTCTTCTCCTTTACACAGGTAATTCAGTTTCCACAGTAATGATTCTACTCTTTATTGGTTATAATGCAGTTTAAAATTTTAATTATAGTAATATCAGTCTCTTCCTATTTTTCATATTTACCTAGTTCACTTTATTTTTCTGTATATGACAATGATCTAATCTTTCTCCTTTGTCTCAGAGTTGTTTTATTGAAATTTATTATGAGCACAAAGCAGGTGCTATCTGAATTTGATTTCTGTTTTAATATATAATTTTTTCAGGTAGATAGGTACTCTGTCTCTGTTTTTTGATTACAGGGTTATCTACCTTGGTTTTGCAGAATCTTTTCATATATTCTATATTGTTTATCCATCCTTGAACATGAAGAGATTGAGTTAGGCCTGACATTAAGTATAAATCAGGTAGGAAGTTTCTGTGTGGGTCCTCAATTCCTAATATGCCTAAATCCATTAGGTTAGACTCTTCGGTGTTTAGATTGGAGGACTAGCTGATGTAAGTTTTCATGGTTAGGTCAGTGATCTCACCAGCCAGTTAGGCATGGAGAAAGATGTAGGGCTTTAGGAAAGTCCAGAAGAACCAATTTGTCTCTGAACCATTACTCCCTGAGTTTGGTGAGGCATGGGCACTGGGAGTGACCTTTTTGTGTCTGTTGTATCCACTGCGTCAGCTTTTGCACCTACTCTGTGTCCCTGTCTGATCTCTTTACTACTGTCCAAGGCTCAGAAGAGCTCCCCAATACTAACAGATGCCAGTTATTCTGGAATTTTCCCTTTAATAGGCCACACTTACTTTTAATATCCCTCAAAGAGCTGCTTATCATCCATGGTGGTGAAGTGGTTCCTAATGGAAAGTTCTCTATTTCTTCTGCTAGCTACCATTGCAAAGGAAAAGAAATAAAAATCTAATTCTCCCTCCTCCCTTTAGGGAGTGTGAGTGTGTTCTATCTATTTGCTTAATAAATATGCGTTAAATTTAATTATTGTTGAATTGTCTTCCTACAGTTTTAAGTAGAATGACCCCTCCTACGTACCAACAACAACAAAAAAGATTATCAGAAATTTCTGGAAATACAGCTTTTGTAAAATAACACTTCTGACAACCAATCTAACAACTTCAGTGATGATATTGCTTAGGGAAGTTCAGGAGTCTAATTCTACAGCAAATTTCAGGTGGAATGTCCTTCTTAAGGTAGCCACCCACCATCGCAGGTCAGTAAGTAACAGTGACTTTCACTCTTTTAAAGGAAAAACACTAATGCAAATGTTGATCAACATCTATTAACAATGACTGAGCAATGCTCATTGCTTGGAAAGGTGAGAGGGTTAAAATTTGAATCATTTTCTGAGGAAACCTGTTCAAGTCAGGCTATAACTTCATACTTCTGAGAGCATGACAGGATTGTATCCCTAGGATTTTTCTTCAAATCTCTAGATTCTACTTTTTCCGCCTTGTTTTTTGTTTCTCTTGAGCACTTCCATGCCCAGACTAGGAGGCTATTTTAGTATCACTGTTCCGTAAATTCTTTAGATTAACCTTTAGTGGCACCAAAATAGCCTAAGTATGTGGATATACAGATCTTAATTAATTTTTAAGGCATAATAGAGTTCCTAGATACAATATATGTTTTAAAAAAGAAAAGAATTAGAAAACAGCTTATCTAAGGAACTTACAAATCAATAAGATAAACAACCATACCAAATGAGAAGCAGAAAATATAAGCAGACATTTCACAGAAGAAAAAATCCAGGTGATCACAAACATAGAAAGAGACAGCCTTACTAATACCCAGAGAAATACAAATTAAAACATCCTGATGACATTTCACAACAGTAAAATTGACAGAGTCTAGGAAGTTTGTTAAATGAAGTGTTGGTAGGGGAAAAGAAACTCTTAATCACTGATGGCAGAAGTACCAATTGATACAACTGCTTTGGACAGTGATTTTGTGATAGTAAGCAGAGTCGACTATCTATCTATCTATCTATCTATCTATCTATCTATCTATCTATCTATCTATCTATCTATGTCCTATGACCTTCCATTTGGCTTCTGGGTTTCCATCCTAGCGAAATCTTTGTACTTCTCTGAGCCATTCTTTTAATAACAATAAATTGGAAATGACTCAGATGTCTATCAGCAAGAGAATGGAAACTACTAAACTGTGGTATATTGATGAAGATGGAATGTTATGCAATACCAAAGTAAATGAACATTCTCATATGTCAACATGGACAGGTTTTAAAGGCAGTGTTGAATGAGAAAAAGGGATTACATTTTGATACCACTTATTTAAATTTAAAATGGCAAGCAATGGTAATACAGCATTTAATGAATATATGTGAATATATACACATTGTATGATTATATGTGTGAATTAAATATATTTCATTTTAGAAGAGTTTATCTTCTAGGATTGGAGAGATGTAAATGTATCTGTGGATGGAAAAAGAGAAGATGGCAATTTTCTTGTAATGTGTGTGCCCATTTCCTTAAATAAAAGAGCTCTGGAAGTAAATACTGCAAAGCATGGCTCACTTACAATAGTGGGTACATTAGTATTTGCTGTATTTCCTTGTAAATATTAGGCTTTTGTATTAAAAAAAAAAAAGGGATCCTGTACATATACTCTTTGGGCCCCTAATCTGTCACTAAATTCTCTGCTGGTCCTATGGGTGCCAGAACATCAGCAACATGCTGGAGGGCTTGCCTGTCCTTTCTGCACATGGGAAGCTGTTTTCTAGCTCTTGATTTTGTCTAGACATAGTTTTTCTGCAGTGTTTTTCTCAGCTGCACATATGTTAAATACCTCTGAAAAGTGACATCAATCCACTTTCAGGGGAGAAACAATTTTAAAACTGCAATTCATCTGCAATGATTCTTATTTTTAATATTTTAGGATAAATATTAAAATGTCATCTAAATGACAACAGTGCAAATAATGGATTTTTATACTCAGACATTATTGTTATCTACTTCATCTGCAATGTTATTTGATACCTTAGGAGAACAAGATTCTTTATAAAAGTAGATTGTGATCTCTCTGTTTTAAAACACAACATGAGAGGTAGACATCTTTTCTTCTTACATTTCCAATCTAATAATCCTCCTTTTCAATAGCCTTAGTGTTATAAAAAAATAAAATTCAGAAAAAGAGTTGTACTTCTATGGACCTCACCAGAATCATGTGGAGGGTTTTGAAGTGTTTTAAAGGAAATTTCTGCCTTGCCTTAGGCTAGAGTAAGGGCTAGGAGTGAAGAGGGTGGATCCATAGGAAAGAAGGCTCAGCTCTGGTGTGAAGTGCTGTGGTGATTAGAGGAAATGACTTATCAGTTCCTTTGTGATCTCCAAAAGAAACCATTTGTGAAATCAATGGCTGCCTGGCAGAGCCCATCAACTGGCGGTCAAAGATATATATCTTCATTACTATCAGTTACCTGTGTCCTTTGGGTGGCTAGAAGGGACCTAAATTCTATAGGTCAGAGCACCATCATGAGTAAAGGCATCACACTGATTTACATGCAATTATTATATGCAAGGGGAAGCTTGGCACTACTTTATCTTACAGGAAATCAAATGCTGGCTTAACTGTTATTATCTAGACAGCTTAATATGTTCCTTATGAGAAAATTTCCAATCTATATCAACCCACTTACAAGAACTAATAGATAGAGTGGAAAACATAAAATATAATTACTGTGGCAATGATGTGCACAATCACTTCAGCTGCTGGGCTACTTTGGGATGTTTAAACAGCTAATGTGAAGTCAGGAAGGGGAGAACATTTTTCTGATTAGTGCTGTGTAGGGAATACTGAGAAAAAGTACATAGAAAATGCTTGTAGCCATGTGAAATAGCCCAAGTGGAGCTGAAATAAGACCCCCTTTCATCCTACAAGTTATTTTGGGGTTAGAATGTTTAAATAAAAACAAGATGGATAGTTCCTCAGGATTTCAGAGCTGGAACAGAGAACCTTTTGCTGAGGCAAGGAGGAATGGTGGAGGCAGTCACATTCCAATGAAAAAGTCCTCTACCATGGAGGTTTGGCTCAGAAAGCAGTGGCTGGGCATCTGGAGCCTGAAGACTTACACCTTTTAATGGGGAATACCTCTTTTTTTAAATTTTTTTAAATTTTTTTTTTGGGGGGGCGAAATATCTCTTTATAGGTCCTTGGAAATTTTGGATCCTTGTGGTCTGGCATGGCTAGGAGATTGCATCGTAGTGTAAATAAGCCACACTGGGCTTCAGCATTTTTCTTCTAAACAATTCAAATAGACCTTAAGATAGTTATTGGGACTTTGTGGGGTGAGGGTCACATAAATAACAGCTCACTTGCCCCTTTGGATTTAGAAGTCATTGAAAAATATATTACTGGAAAGGACGTGGCTAAACATCAAAATGCCATGTTTAGTGGTTCAGTTGAATTGGAACAACTTGGATCTGCAACTACCAGTACTTTCTCTGAATGAAGCTCACTACCCAGCCACAGGCCTCTCCTAAGGCAGGACACTCAGGTTATATTCTGGGACACGGCTGTTCCTATAGTTTGAAGGCTGAGGCCCATGGTCCAGCCCTTCTCCCCAGTTCACTCAACTACTCAGGGAGGAGAAGGAGGAGGAAGAGGAAAAAGAAGGGAGTAGTAAGAGGCAGACCCAAATATTTCTCCCACACTTTTCCTGCTTAATGTTTCTCTGTATAGAAATATGAAAAGTATTATATTATCTCTATAATGGTCCTTGACCATATCAAAGATCTATTTATTCTAATTACATCTTTGGGCTAAGATTAGTCAACATATAGGAATATATATTTTGGAATTGCCAGGAGCACTCAGATATCAACTCTGGGAAATTATAAACTAACAGTTATTGAGTATTAGCCATCTCAGTCTAAGCTGCTCATCTACAGATGCAAAATCAAAAGCCCTTATAAGAGCAATTTGCTCAGGGTCAGAGTTAGTTAACTGCAGGCTGGGACCAGTAGCCAGGGTTCTTTCTCCTTGGGTAAGGCTTCCTTTTAAGGAACTGTATTCATATCAGTACTGGGATATTACTAGTAAATATTTTGGTGGGAGTGGTGCTACTTACAATCTGACAATCTCTGTTCCAATAACATGTTATCCTATTTCATCCTTACAATCATAGTGAAATTGATAATATAATTGTTTTCATTTAACAGATAAAAAAATTCATTCTCCAAGAGAGAAGAGAGACTTGTCCAAGGTCATTCAGCAAATGAGTGAGGACTCAGATCCACCCAACATTCTTCCCTAAATCAAAGCTATGAAAGATCATTAGGGAAGATCTTGCCTAATCTTCCAATTCTACTGCACGGAAACAGGAAGTATGATTCCAAAGAATGGGCCTATGAGTGCACTTCCAAACCACAGCTAATTTTCCCTAAGAGTCTTCCGGATGGTGGGTTTTTTGAGTACTTTCCAGAAAAAAAAAGTCAATTAATATCTTACTGTTACTTGTACATAGAATTGTATATAACTGTTCAATAAATTGCAAAACAGAGCCTCTGGCTTCACACATTACTGATAATGAACATCAGAACTTTGGTTGGTTCAATTAACACATTGTAATTTCACTCAATGAGATGACTTTCAATTAAAAACTTGTTAACTGCATACAGAGACTAGAAGAAAGGCCAAATGCTAACATGTGGCATCCTTTAATTACATGAAGAAATGTTTGGAATTCAAAGGTGATGGGAAGCATTTTGATCTCCGCATAATGAACAATTGTTCATTATCATAGTCCTATCGAATTCTAATTACTTACAGGAATTATATGATCCCTTAAATATTAGAAGTGGCAAATACAGTGTATACAATATTTTCATGAAGTAAGATTACTACAGGTTTAATAGTGAAATACAGTGAAGTCTTCCAAAATTTTTGTTGTGTTTATGCAGAGTCAGTGAGGTAAACAATACAGTTAGAATCAGGCAGACTACCAGATAACATGTTGACCTTCACTTTCTTCCCACTTCCTTCAGACAAAGGAAGCTTGGGAGGAGTAACAGGGGTACCTGCAGATAACGTTTAAAAAGGAAAGATGGTCAAGACATGAGCTCTTGAGCCACAGATTTTTAACTATATCACTTTCCCAGAGGAAAGTTAACTTTCTGTGGGGAAAGTTAATCAATGCAGAACTGGAAAATCTGCCCGGATAAAGAATAGTCTGTGGTGCTGAAGTTTTGGCTCCATGTTCTAATGTTGAACTTGATCAGCTAGGGGTACTTGAAGGACTCTTGCTGAGATTGGCCAGGCCCAAGCTGTCTAAAATGAAAAGTTCAAACTGTCTAAAATGAAAACAGGATAAAACTTTGGCTTTTTTCTCCAAATTTGAAGGACCCATTCTTAAATTTTAGCATTTCCATGAGGGGTTGCCTGGTCAGGAGTATAGATTCCAGTGAAGGAGGCCTGAGGAAGTCAGAGTCACTCATTGGTAGGCCACAGATCATGGCTGGTCCATAGACATATTTTGTTCGGCTTAAGTAGTGTTTAATTCTTACCTAATTTTAGAATCAAGAGACTTCTACATGAAATAATTGTATTTCTAGCTCTCTTTAAAAGTCAAGATGTAGCTAGCTTAGCTCATGTTTTTCCTGGAGGCTGGAGCTACACTGTGGCTACCCATTCAGGTGAGATATAGACTCCTCACTTTGTTTTGTTTTGTTTTTTTTGGTACCGAGGCTCGAACTCGGGTCCTTGCGCTTGCGCAGCAGGTGGCAAAACCACTGAGCTAAATCCCCGGCCCGATAGACCCCTCACTTTGCACAGAGCAACCCACCACCATTTGACCCCAGCTCTATCTGCCTCTTCATATATATTATTTGCCTGAGCCTCTAGTGTTGGGCTTTACAACTTCTGCTTGATCTGGATTCCTGGAGAACACTAGGAAATATAACCAAGTAAAGATGCAGAGACCTTTCCACCACAACGTTAGTAGTCTGACATAGTCAGTTCCTTGGTTTGGGGCAGTACTGTCTGTCCTTTGAAAAAAGGAGGGCAATAAAACATGGTGAAAATCCTCAGAGGAAGAAAAGAGGGAGAGAAACACTGATGCAGGTAAGTGCCTCCAGTACAGTATCCTTCTTGGAACAGGTAGGTAATGAACTCTCTTTGCCCTTGACTACCCCAAAACAAATTGCCATTTAATTTTTTAATTAAGCTGAAAAAATATCAGCCAGTGAAAAGTACATCAAGCCAATTCTGCTTTCTTGAACTACTTAACCATTAACCTTCATGCTCACATCTACTTTGGTGAAAAGGACATCTATATTTCTGGGATATTAAGGAAAAAATCTTGCTCATCACTGACTGTAAAATGTAGTTCTCTTGCTACATTTATAAAACTGTACAGGTAAAATGAGCTGTGGATTTGAGAATGTGGGTGACACAGGAGAGGAAAGACCAGGGATAGCACAGCCCATCATCAGTATTCAGATTGTTGAAATGTTGCCCATGAATTAATTTGTTTATTCAGGGCTCCCTGAGTAATTCATTCCCGTTATCTTCACTTCTGAATAATGAGTTTGTATCTTTTGAACTTCATGCTATTTCTAAATTGGCCTTAAAACTCATTTCACATTTTAGAATAATAATTCCTTTGTATTAAAAACTATGTGGACAAGGACGTAATAAATAAAATCCTTTGGACCAAAGGAGACCTGAGTCATAGTCTCTGCTCTTCTGTGAACCACTGTGTTACTCAGTGTGGTCATACCACCTCTCTGAGCCTTACTTTTTACTTTGTAAAGAAGATATGAGAACTGGATGATCTTTCAGACTTTTTGAAATTTTTATATTTTGAGAAACAAAGAATTGGGAGATGTTCTTAAATTCGAGGCAGGCTGGTACCACTGGATACTAACAAATAAGTAAAACATAGTAGTTTCCCTCTGGGTTTCTTTATGCAAAGACCTATTTTGATCACTTTCTTTTTTTTTGAAAAAGCATACTTAAGCTAGAAAATCATAAGAAATAACACATACTTTAGATATTTTAAGTTATCACACATTTATTTTCTAATATTTCATAGGGCTAAGGACTTTTTTTTTATTTTTGGGTCTGTTAATTAGTCATCCATTAGAAACTTTGTGACTTCTAGGACTGATTTAATGTGGAGCAAGAATTTAGCCATTGAGAAAGTTTATAACATTTCTTACTTGGTTTCCTTTATCAAGATTAAGCATTTAACTCAGTTTTCACAATACTGTTTTTGCCTTTGTATTTCATTGGTTTAGTTAATATTTAATTACATTACATAATTGTTATAATGTGTGCAAATAGCATAAGCAAAGACAATAATGCTTGGTAAGGATAGAGCTCATATGGAATGCAGGAAAGTACTGGATTTGGGGATACTATACATTAGTGATCAACATGTTGAGGTCCTAGTTAGTACATGGATAATAAAAAGTCAATTAGGGGTGGGGAAGTAGCTGAGTCACAAAGTACTTGTCTATCATGCTTGAGTCCCTGTGTTCAGTCCCCAGTACTACTAAATAAGAAAATAAATAGTCCATAAAATGTAAGTTGATCAATCAGACTGCCAAATGAATGTTTTCTCAGTTCAAATTGATTGCAGGTAAACAAAACAATCCTAATAAACTTAGGCAAGGAAAGCAATTTATTGGAAGGCTCTGAGATGACACACTAAACTGAAGGGAAAGCCAAACAGCTAGTTCTCTGAAAAATAAGAACTTGGGAAACACTGATTATCTCAGGAGCAGGCACTAATGGACAATCTCTTCAGGGTGTCATCACTGGATAAATTGGCTCCAAATGTCTTTTCATCTTTTTGTCACTCTGATCAAGACCAGACTCTCCAGGAGAGACTCGAATTGGTCTATGGCACATATGTACTATCTTAAAGCAAAAACAACAACAACAACAACAAAAAAAACCAGACAAGATAGAGAACTTCTACAAGACAGCATGAACTGAGGATGGATCATTCTCCAAAGGCAATTTAGAAACTGTCACTAGAGGGAGGGAACTATGCATGGTGCGCCTAGGCCTATATAAGTGTATTAGTCCAATAAGATACATAGAGATACAGAGAAAGTGATTTGTTACGCAGAATTGGCTCACATAATTATAGAGGCAGAGAAGATCCAGTTTTTGCTGTCTGCAAGCTGGAGCCTAGGAAAGGTATAGTTTCACTCCAAATCTGAAGGCTTGAGGGGCCGGGGATTTACCTCAGTGGTTCTGCTGCCTACCTCGCAAGCGCAAGGTCCCGAGTTTGATCCCCAGTAAGAACAACAATAAAAAAGTGTACCAAATCTGAAGGCCTGAGAACCAGAAAAGTCCATGTTCAAGGCCAGAGAACATGGATGTTCTAGCTCTAGCAGAGAAAATTCACCCTTCATCTGCCTTTGTGCCCTACTCAGACCCTCAGTGGATTGGATGACGCCCATTACCATTGGTGATGAGGATCTTTTTTACACAGCCTACTGATTCATATGTGACTCTCTTCTGGGCAGCCCTGTCAAGTTGACATATAATTTAACCACCACATTAAATATATGTGCAGAATATAGCCTTAGCTATGGGTTAACAGCGTAAGAGGTGACTAATGATTCTGGCTAGAAGGCAGCAAAGGATGTTCACAATACAAGAAAACCTTCAGTAGTTGAGTATAGCATTAAGCTTCCACATCTATTGTTTTCTGAAACTCTCAAGGTTGCAACCTTCAGAAGCTCTATGCAAAATGCACCAGTTTCCTTGACCATCCACACTGTTTCAGCTGAGAGTAGGTGGGGAGGTCTATATTCTGGCCGTAGCTTGTTACTTAATAAATGTGTGATCACGGGTGGGCCATTGCTTCTGAAGCCCCAACTTCCCTATGTACAAAATAAAAGCTCCTTCTGGGTGTAATACTTTTGTCATTACCGTATCTGTACACATCCTTTTCTTCATATTTGACTATAATTAAATAAAGCAGATATATCTTCATGTACTGTGTCTTGTTGGTATTATTTTGCATGCCTAAAAGTTAGAGTTATATTTTGGTTGAATGGATATGATGCTTAACTATAAATTAGGACTTTTATTATACCAACAGGAAAGCATTAGAACATATGCTGTTGCTTATTTTTGCATTTATTTTTGCAGTAGTTAGCTGGCTACTACATTACATTTTTATCCCAGGTCGCTTCTCTTCTATTCTTATAAAACAACATATCTGCAAGAGATTTCATCTTCAACCATGAGCTCTTTTTTAATGCCCCCCCCACACCTCTGTGCCTATAATGACATTTTCTTGATTTTGGATTTTGTTTATTTTATTTTATTTTATTTTATTTTTGTCTGCTGGGCTTGGTTGCTATTTTTATTATTTAAATGTTTTTCTCACAATGTGGTTTTCTAGAGTGTTCTAAAAGTAAGAAGTACTTTTAATTTTCATCATATGCCCATTTTAAGCCTCGGTATTGTGTGAAACTCCAGAGAACTCAAACTTTACTTCAGACTAGGGAGAGGAAGCTCTGGATTAGGTTACATTCCT